AGTTTCCATAATTGATAGACATTTCTTTCCAGAACGTTTGCCAAATAAATTTTCGTGTAACTATATCGGAATCCCCCCCCCGCAAATTCGTTACTTATATACTGAAAAAATTAAAATGGAAGGAAACTGAAAACTTCGTTTTGTACTAATTACACATGAATAGGATGGAAAGAAATAGAAACAAACAAACAAATTAGAAAATAAGATACGAAAACTTGGTAGTATCACGAAGGAACAATTTGATTCGAAAAATAAGCAAAGCCAGTGTTTTTCTACATGAATTTTTTATCCGTACGGCTGAAGCATAAACGATGTTATTGTATTTATTTTGCAAAAAGTACGTACTACAAAGGACATTCTTGGAAAATTGTGTGCACATAAATGACCCAAAACAGCTTCTTTTTACTTTATTCTTATAAAGTTAATAGAACATTACATGAAGGCTTTCAAAAACTTTTATATGCGAAGTCAATGCATTATAAATAAGGAAAATATAATTAGTAGTTTGATAAGGTGGCTTTGTTTGGTGATATTTTTCTCATTTTCGCTGCCAAGTTGAGCTGAATTTGCTATATTTCTAACGATTGTCTACTATAATCATGGTGATTGATAATAATTGATAATTACAAAAGCATAGATTGCAGTTACAACTATCTGAATTATTGCAGAATGCTCAGCTCTTGTTATCGAAAATTAGCAAAAACTAAATAAACGGAAAATAAATTGGTTAATTAACAAAATAGAACAGACCCAATTGCAAAACATAAAATTTGTTATAACTTAAACATAAATAAACATATAGTTCACTACATGTTCGTATGTATAAAAAATAATTTTATTAGTGATTATTTATGCAAAAAAGTACTAAATTGAAAAGAGTTGTGACAAAATGTACCTGAGTGTACAATCGCCAATTATAATTTAATTGACATAATGCCCCTTTAATATAAATTCAAGAAAAATTTAAGCATATTCTAACCATTTAAATGTACAGTAAACATTCATGTGTACATAATATTTTCCATCTCCAACAGAGTAAATTTAGAATTAGTTTTCGAATATTTTTCACCAGCACTTACCTTGAAATGAAAGATGTACTTTAATATCGGATTGCCAGAACCTAGTCTATGTTAGCATTAATCCATCGGTTTAATGCATAACCATTTTTTCTTCATTTTTATCCCCAGATAATTCATGTGTGCATTTATAAGTTACAAATACCTCTTGTGAGTACACAATTTTTATAGTCTTGATTTAAGATTCTCTTGATCTGTAGATAAGATGGAATTGCATTTTCTGTATTAAACAAAAGAAAAGCAATTGATTATGTATAATATTACATAAAAGTCAAATAGTGTTTATGTTACTGATAGAAATGTTTTGAAAAAGACTTGCGTAACTTATAAAATCTAACATATATGTTACATTGTGTAAATAAAAGGATCACGTACGTTTATTTTTACTCTAAACAAATTATTCTGAAAGTATATATCATTAATATTCCAGCTGTAAATTTCAGATTAGTAAAAGGACCACACGCAAAAAATTAATATCAAGTACAGAAACATACTCCCCTGTTTTTCATTGTTGCATCCAATGTTCTGAAGTCATATTATAACAAGATCGTATTCGGATTTTTTAAAATCTCTTTTTAGCCCTCCTCGCACTTTACATACTGTGAATGTGTGTCAATGTTTCACCTGAAATCATTAAAGACATCTTTATTTCTTCCTTCCAATAAATAATGTTGTTAAAATATCAACTGAACAATCTTAGATATTTGACCTCAACAATCCGTCTGATGAATTGCACATGTGATGATACCCCTGCCGTTGCTGAACATTTACCTGAATATTTCTCTGAGATATGTCAATGTCAGCAAATATCTATAGGGGATATAAGTAGGAGGGTTAATATTTGATATCAAATGGTACAAGTATGTTTTGATAAGAGAAATGATACGTTTGACAAGTTCAATGGTAATTTATCAGCACTAAGTAAACTGTAATGATTTACCACAAGACATCTCTCTTACAACATCACGTACCACTGTTACAGGAAGCTTTTACTGCAAATGACATCTTCCATAACACAGAGCATAATATTCATTTGTTAAAAAGTGAAGCTAAAATAGAAAACAAACAAACAAACGAATGAACGAACGAACAAACACCATCAAAATATTCACTTTGATCGGTAATTTGTCACAAATATCAAATAGGAAGTTTCGGCACTTGTATCAACGTACAGGTGTTGCAGGCAAATGGACCACACCTCGTTTTGGAACGTGCTTATGCAGATGAAATTTCTTCTCAAGGAATCAAATTTACTTATTGACAATTTATTTCAAGTATATATACTATTCTATCGCAACTCGGTATCTTTTGCATTAATTACATACAAAATATACTAAACTTAACTGTTACATTCAGAATAGATTTTTATTTAATTTTTTGCATACTTTCGATATTCATTCACCTGATCAGAACGAAAATACCTCATTTAAATCCAACCTCAAATTCTTCGCTGGATAAAAAAGACAACCTAACATATACGTTAAAGGACATTTAACTTTTAAATCAAATGAACGTTATTTCAGAAATTTATTTACAAATATCAAAAATACTTATTTTACATACAACAGCAATTAATAATAAATTGAATCTAGTATATTTACAAAAGAAAATTAAATGTGAATCGCGTATAACTATTTTCTATAAAAATGTCGTTTTGAATGCGGCTTCTTTTGAATGTAATTGTTGATAGTATTATGACAGGACGATGCCTCGTATTTATTTTTGAATGAATTTAAGTGAAAAGTATAAATCATTTTTATGAATGATGACAAATTTGCGTCAATATTTATCTTATTCATCATTTATCTTCATTATCTTGCCAAACACAAACCGATTCTAAGATTAAAATGATTGGTGTTTATCTTATCGCGTAAGTATAGGATGTGAAATTTAAAGTACAGTAGATGTACTTTTAGCTAAAATGATGATTTATGCAATCAGTTTAATGACTTGAAGTCATTTAGCGTAAAAAGACGGCAAAAAATTTAAACCAGTTCCACGAAAAATTGTGCTAAAGGTATACATTTCCTATATCAAATTACGCAAATGGCACAGAAATGTTATAATCCAGCCAGGGAAAGCTTATCAAATACTCCAGCTGGTATAACACAGGTGTAACAATGCATTATAATGTTTGGTACAACATTGATAAAAAACGACTGCGAATGAAGAAGAAAGTTGAATTCTGTTGAAGAAATAATTTCTTCTGGGAATCAAACAAAATAAACAGTTAACACACAGCGTCATAAGTTAAACTATATAGCATTACTATAAAAATAGTTTAAAGCCCATTAAGCCTCAAAAATAGTTTTGTGAATAAAACATATTACATTTTTGTATATAGATTTCATGTTGCGAGACATTCAATGTGTTTTGATAGCAGCTTTATCTTTCATGAAAAGTCATAGACAAGCTGAGACACTTGGGACATTAATTAATAAAAGTGTACGTGTTAAAACGCACATTTATCTTTTTCAGCAACAACATATAAACGTATCACATAATTCAGATACTATGAGTATAAATTGTACAGAAAAAAAAACAAATAACGTATTAAAGAAGACAAAAAGAAAGAAACACTTTTTGATGACCGTCAAAACCATCACCTATGTTATACATTTATTCAACAGCTTGACAAAAACGTCGCCAATCACTTTATATAGAAACAATTACTTCAGTGATGACGGAAAAACAACAAAAAAAAAACAAAACAAAACAAAACAAAAACAACAATAAACAAAAAAAAACAAACAAAAGTAAAACAAGATATATACAATGCATTTATTTATTTCATGGCTCTAACCATTTTTACATGTTTGATTGTACTGTGTTATATCACTTCTATTTATCACTAAATCACTAAATAAGGTTATATGTAGCTCACTGGTTATTAAGACATATCTGCCAACCTCATTAAGCTCACGTCTTTAAGATAGTATTGGCGTGAAGTATAAAATATTAAATACACAAACTACATCTTATATCTTTATTAAATAATTCACCACGTGCTTAAAAGATAAGACTCAAATAAATAAACTTGATCCATATTTATCATAAAACCTGTTTTAAAAAATTCTTGAATTTTGTCCATTTTGAACTTCCCCGCACAGTTTCAGTGTAAAATTGGTAAATAGAGTAAACGATTATGCAAAGATTGTTATATGAACATTTTAGAATATTAGTATCATTTTTCATTGATTTGCTTTAAAAAGACAGACTTATTTAACAAAACACTTTAGCCATTGAAACGTTTACAAAAATCTGGAAACAATGTGGAACCCTAGGAAGCATTAATCACAACAAAATTACATGAAAATTGCAGACTCGGTTTGATTGAGTATGTACATGATGGATAATGAATAAGTGCAACATCCCTCACGCCCTTAGCACCGGCTTGAGCGGTACTCAATGATCAACACTTAAAAGTCCTGGCATCACTGATCCCGAAGGACCAGAAAAATATAACAACACTGAAGTGAAGTACGGGGCAACTTTTACAGCTGCAAAATAGCACTTGACACCCTATGGCAGAACGGAGTGAAGGTAAAATAAACAATTAAATTTGTTAATGCGCCGAAAAAATAATAGTTTGAAACACACACACAAAAAACCTAGATAAATATTTTCCTCTCAGGAAATTTTTCTGTCCAAGAAATCTTTTCATGATCTTGTTATACACTGTCTCAGTTTCACAGGTGCAAAAATATAAATTGCATATCAAATATAATATTTTTTTCATTAAAGATAAATCTTCATCATCATATTTCATGGTAGATTATGTTAAATGGTTATCTTTATATAACTCCATCCATTTTAAAAAGGGATTATCCACAGATTCCCAATTAAAAATGCCATTTTCAGCTATTTTAGTGGATATTTTAAGATGTATTTTAAGGGAAAAACAACAAAAAGTACATCTGAAAATATATTTAACACAAAATTTATTTCATTTTGTTATAAAAATACAGCATATTATCACAAATAAATCATGATTTGTTCCGCCAGCAGAACATTTAGCAGTTCTTTCTGCGAGATAGCAAGAATCCAAAAATGCTAAAATGTTCTGCCGGCGGAACATTAAATAAAACATATATGAAGTTATTTTACAAAATAGTTCAGTCTTAAATTGTTCCGCCAGCGGAACATAAGTATGAAAACATGTATCAAAACATACTAGGTTATAACCATAAGTGATTCTGTTCTGCCGGCGGAACATTTATTAATTACAACATATCACAATTCTGAACAACCTTTGCAAGATTTTGTAACAAATGCATTTCTTAAAGTAAAAATCAAATAAAAGAACTCATTGGAATTGTTCCGCCAGCAGAACAGATATATGATTCCAGTCCATATGAATGCAAAAATAAGATAGAATCATAAAAATTCCTGTTCCGCCTCCGGAACATTTACTTATAACAACATATCAAAATTCTTAACAACCTTTAAAGGTTTAATCAAAAATATAACTTTTACTCAGAAAGAATATCATTTAATAAAATTGATTTGAAATTGTTCTGCCGGCGGAACAAAAGTATGATAACATCAATTTAAACATCTATAGGATAAAACCGTAGGTGATTCTGTTCTGCCGGCGGAACATTTATTTACTACAAGATACAATTTTTAACACCTTTGCAAAATTTTGTCAAAAATATATTTCTTAAATTAAAATCAAATAATGTAATCATTTGAAATTGTTCCGCCAGCAGAACAGAAATATGATTCACTCTAACGCAAAGGAAAAATTTATAAATTCATAAAAAATCCTGTTCCGCCGGCAGAACATTTACTTATTACAATATATTAAAATTCTTAACAACCTTTTTAGGTTTAAACAAAAATATAATTCAGAAAGAATATCATTTAATAAAAATTGATTTGAAATTGTTCTGCGGGCGGAACATAAGTTTGATAACATCAATTTAAACATAGGATATAACCATAAGTGATTCTGTTCTGCGGGCGGAACATTTATTTCTAACAAGAAAAATCTTAATAACCTTTTTAGGTTTAATCAAAAATATAATTCAGAAAGAATATCATTTAATAAAATTGATTTGAAATTGTTCTGCCGGCGGAACATAAGTTTGATAACATCAATTTAAACATAGGATATAACCATAAGTGATTCTGTTCTGCCGGCGGAACATTTATTTATAACAAGAAAAATCTTAATAACCTTTTTAGGTTTAATCAAAAATATAATTCAGAAAGAATATCATTTAATAAAATTGATTTGAAATTGTTCTGCCGGCGGAACATAAGTTTGATAACATCAATTTAAACATAGGATATAACCATAAGTGATTCTGTTCTGCCGGCGGAACATTTATTTATAACAAGAAAATTCTTAACAACCTTTTTAGGTTTAATTAAAAATATAATTCAGAAAGAATATCATTTAATAAAATTGATTTGAAATTGTTCTGCTGGCGGAACATAAATATGATAACATCAATTTAAACATAGGATATAAGCATAAGTGATTCTGTTCTGCCGGCGGAACATTTATTTATAACAAGAAAAATCTTAATAACCTTTTTAGGTTTAATCAAAAATATAATTCAGAAAGAATATCATTTAATAAAATTGATTTGAAATTGTTCTGCCGGCGGAACATAAGTTTGATAACATCAATTTAAACATAGGAAATAACCATAAGTGATTCTGTTCTGCCGGCGGAACATTTATTTATAACAAGAAAAATCTTAATAACCTTTTTAGGTTTAATCAAAAATATAATTCAGAAAGAATATCATTTAATAAAATTGATTTGAAATTGTTCTGCCGGCGGAACATAAGTTTGATAACATCAATTTAAACATAGGATATAACCATAAGTGATTCTGTTCTGCCGGCGGAACATTTATTTATAACAAGAAAATTCTTAACAACCTTTTTAGGTTTAATTAAAAATATAATTCAGAAAGAATATCATTTAATAAAATTGATTTGAAATTGTTCTGCTGACGGATCATAAATATGATAACATCAATTTAAACATAGGAGATAATCATAAGTGATTCTGTTCTGCCGGCGGAACATTTATTTATAACAAGAAAAATCTTAATAACGGACTTTGAAAATATTTGTGGTATTACAAAAACTTTAACATAGGAGGTTACGCCGCCACTCGGGTGACTACAATAGCTATACTTATTCTTATCAAATAATCGAGCTAAAAATGTTTGATTTTTATACATGTAGGTAAGATTAAAACATAGTTCAAACATGAACAGCATTAAATAATTAATTTTGTTGTATTTACACTAATGTCTAAATAAATTGTAACTAGAAAAGTATCCAAAGGACATGGGGGCCCCAACACAAACTAAAGACTCTAGGTCAAATATTTTTAAGCTAACATTAATATCCATTAAATTCTTTTCTAAAATTGAGTCTATGTTGACTGAGTACTAGTAACTCCTGATTATAATGATCCTGTGAGTAACTCCTGATTATAATGATCCTGTGAGTAACTCCTGATTATAATGATCCTGTGAGTAACTCCTGATTATAATGATCCTGTGCTTTATCCCATGAAGAACATGAAGAAGGTACTCTTGTGTGCCATCATCGTATTTCACTGAGAAGTTTCCTGCAAAGTAAGTCAGTGAGTAAATATACGATATGTACATAATAATTGCTTCTTTGACAAAGTATGTTATAAATATCAAATTCAATATTAACACTCTTAAGAGTAAGTGCAAATTGATGCCTTTGTGCTAAAGGTTTGTTACTCAGTACAGTCAAGACTGTTTAAAGTGATCGACTCTGGGAATCAAGAAAAATGGTCACATAAGACAGTCTCTTAAAACACTCTTCCCCAACCTGCTGACATTGGTTAATAAATATACTTATAATACTGAACGTTGTAACATTGCTTTTCATTGGACAATTGTGACATATATACAATTTTATATACACGGCTGCTGTAAATTTATGACGAAATCTTTTTACTCTTGAAAAAGATGCTTGCTGTATCATAAATTTGTTATAAATATTTCAGACACTGGTTATATGGCCATATATAAACTGTTGTTTGCAATATAACCATTTATATAGGGCCATATAACTTGTCAAAAAAATCTTTATAACTAATAATATAAATGCATAGGTAAGTACTGACTTATTCCAATGAAACAAGTACATGGTATATAGGTCACTTTTAAAGATAAGAGTGATAATTGATTATACTATTTCTGAAATTGCATTTTAAAAAGATAAAACTAGAAATGTGTCATCACCCCATGGATGCTCACGCATGCAGACAAAATTGTAATGTTGATAATAATATTAATATCTAGTTCCAAATTTGTTTACACAAACCATTAATTTTCATTCTAATACATGTAATAGTTCCAATTTTGTTTGCATACATGATTATTTTTCATTCTAAGTTAAAGGCCCTTAAACTACTCAATGTGAAGATGCAATTAAGTTCAAGGCCTTGAAATTACAAAATTTTCATGTCCAAAGCTTTTACAGTTTAGGAGAAATAACCTGAAAATCAATAAAGGGCAATAACTCAATAACTGAAAAAATAAGAAGTGCAGAGTACCGGTTTTTTTTTGCACTTTACTTCTTTACTATAAGATCTATCATCCTATGAAGTTTCAAGTCCATAACTTTTACAGCTTAATTAGGAGAAATGGCCAGGACAAAAATAAAGTATGAAAATTGACAAAGGGCAATTACTAAACAATAGGAAGTGATGAGTACAGGTTTTTGTGCACTGCACTTCTTCTTAATGAGAGCTATCATCCTCAGAAGTTTCAAGTCCATACCTTTTATTATATATGAGAAATGGTCCACAGAAGTTTCAAGTCCATACCTTTTATTATATATGAGAAATGGTCCACAGACACTTGGGGTGTGGAGCTCAAAACACCTTTAACATCCAAATAAAAAACATATTTGTCAATCCCAGCACATGTACTGATCATATATATCAAAGAAATTTAATATAAGCCGTTTTGAAAAAAAATTTATATTTCAACGACTATAATAATAACGACTTATTGATATATATATGATCAGTTCATGTGCTGGGATTGACAAATATGCTTTTTATTTGGATTTTAAAGGCGTTTTGAGCTCCACACCCCAAGTGTCTGTGAAATGGTTTAGACAAAAACAAAGAATGAAAATTAACTAAGGGCATTAACTGAAAAATTATAAAGTGGTAAGTACCGGTGCTTTTGCACTGCACTTCTTCTTAATGAGATCTATCATCCTATGAAGTTTCAAGTCAATAGCTTTATTTTTTTATGTTTTTATATTTATGAGAAATGGCCTGTAAAAACTTAAGTATTATTGTTAACAAAGGGCAATAACTGAAAATAAAAGAGGTGCAGTGTACTGGTTCTTGTGCAATACAATTTTTCTTAATGAGATTTATCATCCTCTGAAGTTTCAAGTCCATAGCTTTTGTTATATATGAGAAATGGCCTGGACAAAAATTAAGTATTTAACAAATGAAAATTAACAAAGTGCACTAACTCAAAATAAAAGAAAGGCAAAGTACTGGTTCTTGTGCACTGCAATTTTTCTTAATAAGATCTATCATCCTACGAAGTTCTAATTTGATTTTGGAATTGGGCTAAAATTCATTCAGTTATTGATTTATCTTTGATTGGTAAGGTAATTCTATTTGTATGCAAAAAAAGATTATTGATAAAGTTTCAGTTACGACCCTTTCACACAAAAATATAGGAAATTTTGAGCAAACACTGATGCCAGGAGTCAAGTATGCTAGGAGTCAAGTATGCTTGATGTCAAAATAGATGCAATTTTCAAACAGTGCAGGTACATGTACATCTTTATTATATAATGATAAGTAATTATACATGTATATTATTATGCTATAGTAATAGATTGGTAAAATTGACACTGAATATGTACAACAACAAGATCTGTCACAGGAGACAGAGAAGCTCGACTAATTAAATACTGGATGCAGTAAGGAAGACAAAACTATGATAGGAAAATCAATTATAATATAAAATTATTTCTTCTTATGACAAGCAGTTATATTTGTTTACATAAATTCCAAGTTCAAGGGGAAATAATTCTTGAAATAGTCACACTAGAGTTATTGACCTTGCCACAACATGTGTGATAAGAAAAACATATTTGAAGTTTGAAGAAGATACCTTAACAAGAGGGCAATGATAGCCCTGAAATCGCTCACCTGTATATAGGCCTCACGGGCCAGGCAAATTTTAACCCAAGGGATTTTATTTGAACAAACTTGGTTACAATAAGACACCCATTAGAAGATGTTTCATGCTAAATATCTAAGCCCTAGCCCTTTGAGTTTATTAAAAGAAGAAATTTTAAATTTTTAATATACCCATATAGGGAAAAACAATGACCCCCCCCCCATCGGGGCAGGGATAATTTTGTACCACACGGCTTTTATTTGAACAAAATTGGTATAGACACTCACTAGAAGATATTTCATGCTTAGTATCTAAACTCTAGCTCTTTGGGGTTTTTATAAGATTTTTTACACATATTAGGAAAATCAATGACCCGTAACCCCAGAGCCCTTATTTCAACAAACTTGGTAGACACCCATTACAATATTACAATATCTTAGCTCTAGCTCCTTGGGTTTATTAAAGAAGTTTTTACTATACACATGTAGGGAAAAACAATGAACCCCTGGGGCTGGCAAAATTTTTACCCCTGAGGGCTTTTATTTGAACAAACTTGGTAGACACTCACTAGAAGATGGTTCATTCTTAATACCCTAGCTCTACCTCTTCATTTTTTTTAAAAGAAGATTTTTTAAGCTTTTGCTATACATATATAAGGAAAATTAATGACCCCCAGGGCGGGCCAATTTAAATCCAAGGCCTCTTATTTGAACTAACTTGGTAGACACCCATTAGAAGATGTTTCATGCTAAACATATAAGGTTTAGCTCTTTCGGTTTTTTTTTTATAGAAGATTTTTTAACTTTTAACTATACACATATAGGGAAAATCAATGACCCCCTGGGGTGGGGCCAAATTTGATCCCAGGGCTTTTATTTGAACAAACTTGGTAGACACGCACTAGAAGATGAATCGTGCCAAATATCTAAGGTCTACCTCTTTGGGTTTTTCAGAAGAAGAAATTTAAATCTTTTGGTTGCCATTGCAACCAGAGTTCTGCATGGAATTTAGTTCTTTGAAGAATTTTTAAAGGTGACCACCAAAGGAACATTCCTGTGAAGTTTGGGCGAAATTGGCTCAGTGATTTATAAGATGTCGTGACAGGTGAGCTAAAAAGTCAAGAAGTTATGATATTTCTTAAAAGAAATTCTAAGTTCAAAGGGAGATAAATCTGAAAATATTGCTTTAAGAGTTATAACCTTGTCACATAAGATTTGGTTGATGATAAGGAATATGTTTTTGAAGTTTGAGGTAGATATCTATAAAACTAAAGAAGTTATGGTAAAAAATAACATTTTTCAAGAAAAAAAACTAAGTTAATGGGGAGATAATTCTTGCAATATTGGTGCTAGAGTTATGAACCTTGTCACATAAGCTGTGGTTGATGATAAGGAACATGCATTTGAAGTATGAAGTTGATCACTTATGAAATAAAGAAGTAACAGTCAAAAATACTTTACTGATAAGGAACATATACTTGAAGTTTGAAGTTGATACCTTAAGAAATGAAAAAGTTGTAGTAAAACATAATAGTTTTTTAAGTTCAAGGGGAGATAAATCTGAAAATATTGGTGCTAGAGTTATGAACCTTGTCACATGACATGTGGTTGATGATAAGGAACATATATTTGAAGTTTGAAGTTGATACCTGAAGAAACTAGAAATATGTCCATAGGACACGGGTGCCCGCACACTCCACCGATTTGTCAATCTTATGTCTCTAGGTCAAATTTTTTTTTGGGCTACATGTGCCCAAGTTGAAAACTAAAAATCTTTTATTAAGTAAAGGGCAAATACTACAAATACTGAATAAATCCACAAAAAAAAAACCATTCTTGTAAACTTTCAGGCCTACAGGTCAAATAAATTTTGATTTACGTGCAACACAAATTGAATAGTGTAAATTGTTACTAAGTCAAGGGCAATAACAATAAAATTACTAAAAATATCCACACAAAAATACCCAGGTGCACAACTACACATGCTGATCAACATTCTTGTAAGATTTCATGACTCTAGGTCAAATACTTTTTAGCAATGTGCGACACAAGTTGAAAATTGGATATTTTTACTAAGTCAAGGGCAATAACTCTAAAAATACTAAATATATCCACACAAAAATACCCAGGTGAACAACTACACATGCTAATAAACATTCCAGTAAGGTTTCATGCCTCTAGGTAAAATATTATTTGAGTTACTTGCGACACAAGTAACTGTTGAAACTTGCAAATTTTTACTAAGTCAAGGGACATAACTCTGAAGATACTGAATAATATATTCACATGAAAATACCCAGGTGCACAACTTCACATGCTGATCAACATTCCTGTAAGGTTTCATGACTCTAGATCAATTACTTTTTGAGTTAAGTGTGACACAAAAAGAGAATGGACGGATGGATGGACGTTCTAACAGGAGAGTAATAATGTGGCTACTTTATTGTTCTCTCTATTGCTCTTTTTAGCCACACAAAAGAAAATAGCCACATAAAAGCATTACGGAATGAATGACATCAAAGAGAAAGAACAGTTACCTATTGTCCCTCTAGCCACATAATTACTGTCCTGTGAGTGCGGATAGACGGACAAGGGTAAATCTAAATGCCCCCACCCACCTATGGTGGGGGCACAATAAAAAGTTAGTCCAAAATATTTTACTGCACCAAAACTTTAATCTGAAATCTTGACACAGACGCCGGGGTGAGTAGGACAGCTCTCCATATACTTCATATAGTCGAGCAAAAAAGGAATTCTAAAATGCAGGGAGTTACACTTTATGTCAAAGGTTTACTCAAAAATAGCAAAATATACCTTGAAAGTTCTCAGCATCACTTCATCTCCACTTCACATGCTTCTAGGTACTGCAAACAAAAAGAATATATTTTAAAGTTATTCAACTTAACCGACTCACAGACAGCTATGCCTTTTTTGTACATTATCTCCCGACGTATAGATACGCCTTTCTTGTACCTTACCAACTTAATACCTAGAGTGGTTTCAGATATACTGAATTAATTAGTTTAGATGTTTATTTAATCAAATTCTGTCAGAGACCAAGCTCCACTTTTCACAAGTTCTAGATAGTTAGAAGCAACACAGGAGTTCTAAGCAGGCCTAATTCTAGAAAAGTGCTTGGCAGACTAACCTTTCCTTGTTAGTCAAGAAATATTTAATGTTTGTCAGATTAACTTTTGATAGTTTTTGAGAAAAAAAGACAAATATTCTGTCACCATTTTAGGGAACAAAAATGGCTTTCATGTTTTATTGCCCCTTAATATAAATTAAACAACTGTCAATGTCATCTAAAGATCATATCTAAATCATTGAACATGTATGTTTGGTAACATGTGTTGTTTTGTCCAAATGCAAACAAATTAAAATTTAAAGTTTTAAAGAAATGTTAAAACAGAAATTTTAGAAAAAAGTAAAAAAAAAGCCAAAGTATGCCAATAGTTCAAAATCTAGGAAATCTGATATTTGACAAAAACTGAAATTCAATAATATATCTGAAACTGTGCACACTGACAGGGTCCAAATCTCTTAGCTGTAGTCATCAAAGGACAAGAAGATAGATGACTAGGTCAAAATATAGGTCAGCTGATAACAAAGTTCAATTTTACATCTTAAACTGTGCACATGGTCCAAATTTCATAGCTGTACATTAAAGGACAAGAAAGTAGGCAACTATGTAAAAAAAAAGGATGGCTGATATTTTACATCTAAAACTGTGCTTGTGGTCCAAATTTCATAGCTGTACATCAAAGGCCAAGAAATTGATCTAGGCCAGCTGATATTGAAATTCAATTTTACATCTTAAACTGTGCACTTATGATTGAAGGTCAAGGTAAGTCTGGTATACTTGAAGGTCTTGTCCCAAGGGTTATTGTGGCCAGGTATTAAGACATTTAATTAATGCACCAAGAACTTAAAAATTTATGATCAAGTAAATTTGCGAACGACAATGGCAACCCGACATGACTGTTACTATACCTCTACTTACCTTTTTTTTTTTTTAAAGTAGAGCTAAAAATGAAGATTAAAAGGAAAAGTATAATTAATTTTTAATGAACTGTTCTAATTTCAAAACAATAATGTACATGTATTCCAATAATTCAGAAAGGTTACATTATTGTTTACCAAAATAAAATTTAAAGACTTGGATAAAAAAAACTTACTTATTGATTTCCATTTCTCTATGAAATCACTTCTGGATATCTTGTCTTTATAAGCCCAGCTAGTAAAGTCAAGTTCAAGACAAATATTGTAGCTTCACCTGCAAAAATATAAAATTATTCATTCATGAAAAAAAAAAACATGACCATAATTTAAGTACTGTGCTGCTATGAGAATGTGAGAATGACGTTGCATTTTTTGTGTACACAAAAGTTTACAATCTTTGTCTGAATAGGTATAACAGGTTCTGTAGAAGAAAATATAGTACAAGATAAACAAGAACTGTCGGAGGACAGTATTGGCTCGACTATTCAAAAAGTTGTCACAAGGGTGTTTTATTAAGTATAATAATGCTAATTACCTATGAATACATAAAATTGACGTTGAAAATGGGGAGAAAAATCAGCCTAAATGCAAGATAGAATTATGGATCTTGGTCAGTGACCTACAATTATGATTCTAAATGCATATATGTGAAGTTTTAAATAAATATCTTTAATAGTTATTGAGATATGTAAAACTTGCATGTAAACATTAACCAAGAGACTAAGTAGAAAAGGGAAGATGAATCAGCCTAAATGCGAGTAGAGTTATGGAACTTGGTCAGTGACATACAATTATGACTCTCCAATTATGACCCTAAGCACATGTGTAAAGTTTCAAGTAAATATCTTTGAAGACCTTTAACCTTTAACCAAAATTTCTAAGTTTCAAAGGGGCAAATAATTCTGTAAATATTGCAGGCAGAGTTATGCAATTTTGCAAACTGATGTACATGGTTACTATAAAAAAGGATTGTAAATTTCAAATGAATATCTCAAGCAATAATTGAGATATTTGACTTTACAAAAAAACTTTAGCCAAAATTTCTAAGTTATAAAGGGGCATAATTCTGTAAATATTATAGACAGAGTTATCTAACTTGTCAATCTGATGTACATTGTTACTATAAATAAGTATTGTAAGTTTCAAATGAATATCTCAAGCAATAATTGAGATATTTGACTTTACAAAAAACTTTAACCAAAATTTCTTAGTTAAAAAGGGTCAGAATTCTGTAAATATTGTAGACAGAGTAATCCAACTTGTCAATCTGATGAACATTGTTACTATAAATAAGTATTGTAAGTTTCAATTGAATATCTCAAGCAATAATTGAGATATTTGACTTTACAAAAAACTTTAACCAAAACTTCTAAGTTAAAAAGGGGCATAATTTTGTCAATATTGTAGGCAGAGTTATCCAACTTGTCAATCTGATGTACATTGTTACTATAAATAAGTATTGTAAGTTTCAACTGAATATCTTAAGCAATAATTGAGATATTTGAATTTACAAAAAACTTTAACCAACATAGACGCGGACGCCGGGGCGACTACAATAGCTCTCATATTCTTCGAATTTTAATTTTTTCACAGTCATATACATGAGCACTTAAAACATCAATATTTATAAAATATAACCAAAATTTTTAAAGAAATACATTAAAAATGATATGTTTGTGACATTCTCAGTCTGATTTATGTGTAAAGCGTTTAAACGCTTTTCAATTTTGGGTCATTTTTCACTATTATAATAATTATTCTGGAAAAATGGAGCAAGCTAAGAATCTGAAATTTTGCACATGTAAGTAATTAGTATAGATCTGCATCAAATGGAGTAATAATCTCAAAAAAATATTTCCAGTTCCGTCATGTCAAAAAAACCTCAGTGGAGTCCCTTTAATAGTCTTTTGAAATTAACACAACACTAAATATTTCTTTAGGTGAAGAAAAAAATAACATGTTTATTTACAGAAACTATTTTTCGCGAGAAAAAAAAAAAGAGTACAATTCGGACCAGTCTTGCATTGATATTTAACTAGAACATTAACTGGCAACCATACCTAGTATGTTACGCTGACAGGTGATTAATTTGTCAATATTTTAATTTATATCGCAAGCCTGCATGCCTTAAGATGGAAAATCACAATTTGATAACTGTTTTACTGTTATAGTTGACTTGCCCGCTGCGTAACTAAATACTTATCCTAAACATAAGTGTCTTTAAAAAGATACTTGAACTATGTCAAAAAGCTTTTACCTGAACAGGTTATTTTGAATTTTATTGTAGCAGTTAATTTGTAGATATAGGGAACACTGCAAATGGAACTGTAACTGCATGTTGTGTTCCAGTAAGTATTATACCTACTGTAGAAGATGCAGATAATATACTGTGTGTACCAGAAAAATTTGAAAATTTACAATTTTTATTTGGTGTCTAATTTGGTATGCACATGACTGTGTTACCGGGATCATTATATACATGTGTAACATTATTGTTGCAAATCTCATCGCTTTGGAAAAAACTTATTGAATGTAATTTATAACTCTTGAATAAGCAATTCCGTACAGACTGCAGAATAGTCAGAATGAATGAAAAAATGTGGTAGTTATTATAACAGCGTGGGCATTTAATTATTAAAGAAATAGTGTTCCACCAGAATACCTTAGTAAGTACAGGACATTATTATTGTTATGCCTTAAAATTACATTTAAAGTGATATTATGCTAATCCTTATAAATGTTAATGTCGAGTGCTGTAACGTGGAAAAAGTCATAATAACTTTACATTTTGTCCCAATGTTTTCAATTGATCATTTTGATATAATCATCATGATCATAATCATTAATGAGGTTGACACTAAATATGTTAGTATTCATCCGTAGCTGTTCTACAGAAATTAGAAACATTCTACGGTCGCTATTGCTCCCGTCAAACTCGAAGTTTCTAATTTCTGTAGAACAGCACGGATGTCACATAAAAGTTGGGCAGTCTTTTTTATGTTAAGCAATTTTAATTTCACCCTAATCATTTTGTTTGTCATTATAAATTATTGGTCAATCCATGTTTCATTAATTGATCATTTAGAGATTGTAACATTGAATATCGCTAATTCAGCTCAACTTCGACATTAAAAAATGAGCATACTGTCACAGGTCTAAATGTGTTTCCTAGAAAAGTTGGGATTATGTCATTGAATAAAATGAGTGATTTAGAGTATAATCAATCAATAGTATCTTGACCAGTTGCCCTTATCTGGAACTGATTATAAAGTTTTCCTGACTGACCACCCACTGTTATAAAATCATTTCACAACAAATACAAATAAAATAAATACAATGCAGCTTGTTAACTCAAGCAGGGATTTTTTTGGCTTATTTTATAGCCGTTATTGGGTCATATTCCCAATTGAAAATAGTATATTATTTTCCCAATCCACATAAAAAATTCCCAATTGAAAGTTACAAAATTAAAGTATTGAATCTTTGCAAATAAGGGCTTCGATCTTCACTGTAATGATAGTGCTTAAATAATTGAAGATGCCACCATAGACAGAAATTGTTTGCATCCATTTATTTTAATCACTTTAAAATTTCAGTCATGCTTTTTTTCACCATGTGTCGTGTTCCTAAAATCCTGGAAAAAATCACTGTAACTTTTGTCTCTTTTGTGTGCATTCCATTAATGATCAATAAATTCACTCCTGCTGTATGCACAGTCTAAATAATCTGTATGATTATAATCATTAAAGTATACTTTTTAATACAAATTAGTGTTTGAAATAATTTTCTTTAAAGATTAATTTTCATTATATTTCATCTTTGCCAAATTCCTTAAAGTTTTTATTTAAAGCTAAACCTTTTCTATATAAAACTATTTTTTTTCATACTGATTTGAGGCTAAAATAGGCATGAACGAAGCCAAAAAAATGAGAATTTTATAGAAAGATAGACTTTTCAGTAGTTTAAGACTTTTCAGTAATTGCAATTAAATGTTAATTTCCCGTGATATTATGTAATGAAGAGACAGTTACATACCAGCCACTTACCTTCAAAAAATGAAGATCTTCTTCAGGGCGGACACAGACCTGTAGGGCCTACTAGCGCCGATTTCCTCATCGTTATTGTACAAAGTATCCGAATCAATATCTTCTTTCAAACGCCACATCATCTTCACGTTTTAATTTTAAAATTTTTAAAATAAAATATGACCTATACATACTGTTATTGTGTGCGTATCACATCCGAGGCGAGTGTGATCAGTACATTAGCAGACGATGACCTAGATTACTGGACGATTCAATGTTTACGTTTTTATTGGGGTGTTAGCTCTACAACTTTTAAATCATTGTACAGTTTGATTACAATTTTAGGAACATCTAGTGTATTTTTATGAATGAATACATTTGAATTTTTTATTTTAATACTTAAATGTTCAATTATGATATAAATGGCGGGAATTTACTGATGAGTTTGCCGTGTATGGTGACTACCCCTAAATTATCGTGTCGATTCGTCCGTCGCCGCATAAACGCTTTGAACTCTTAGCGGGTGCCAAGTAATTAGTGCCTGTATGAGATGAAAGCGGTTTGGAGACCCAATCATACAGCAGTTAATTTTCAACAAATTTTCAAAATATCTGCTTGTTTTATATACTAGTAGACATTTAGTGAAGTTTATTCTCGTGCATGATGTCCTTTATGCAGTAGATCTATGTGGCGGGCAGTTTGTTGGTAAGTGTTTCTTTTTGCTTTTAACTCTAGTTGTTATTGTACATGTGATTTGACCTTAATTTGAATTTGAAACTAAAGGTCAAATTTGTGAATTTCTCAGCAATAAAATGGCAGTCTATGCCTGCTGCACATGAGTAAATAAATGGGCCAAATATATTAGCATCTAAGTCAAATAATCAAGTTAAACAAGACGATATTTGCTTTTTAATGTACCTTAGGGAAGGTGCCTGTAACATTATTTTTTTAAAGAAAGGATAACTTTGGATACTTTTATTTTCAAAATATTACATTGATCTTTGGGGTAGGGGATTGATGTTTCAAAGTTATGCTTAAAGTCTGCATATCTTAAAGTTTATTATAAGGAAATTATTATTTCTCTTTAAAAAAAAAATAAAAAAATATGTATTCTGATAAATGTTACAAAAAGAAAATTTTGGAAAATTCATCTTAGATATAAAAATATTTGCTTTCTAATTTTCAGTATTTTCCCTTGCAAAAATGAAATTTTCAAACATGTTAGAAACGAAGAGAAAAAAACAAGGATAGGTACATCAAATCATTATACTTAAATCAAATATGCAAACACATTTCTTGTAAAACAGTAAAATTTATAGGGCTTTCTTATAAATGTATGTTTATTGTCATATAATACAGAACTGAACTGTATCAGGGGGACGAATGTTAGATAATTGGGGGGGGGGACGGATGTTACACTAGACGTTCAAAGTTCATAGTTTATGCTTGCCTGTTTTTTTTGTTTTAAAATATCAAAATTTCTAAGAGTAAATAAATATGCTTTGTACAGTACTATAAATGTAAAATAATTGGACAAAGAATAAGAAAAATGTATAAATATACCCGACAATTAAAGCTGCGGTATCACTTACACCAGGCAGAGCCAAGGACCACCCCAGTAAGTTACTGGGATGATCGGGGGTAAAATTATTGTTGTGGTCACACTTACCCCGGCAGCACTACGGTAATTTCCAACTAACCACCCAAGATGCGTTCAGACAGAGCCTAGGTGACACTACGGTTTATGCCGGTGCTTTCCCTGATGATGCTGGGAGAGCCCCAGTTGACCTAGGCACTGAGCCCGGGTCAATCCAGACAGAGCCCATGACAATCCCGGTAGAACCCCGGTGGATTGAAAGCACGTGAAAATGATTACGTTGATATATAATTTTCATTTAATATAATATCTATTGTTCCAGAATAGTAATTCATGATGATTTTCGAATAGTCCTAAATATGCAAGATTGGACAGAAGGGAAATGGGGAAGGGTTTTAATACAAACAAGTGCTATAATCCTCGCAATTTGTTGTGTTTCTTTTGAATTGAACCGGGCTAAAATTGCCAGGGCTCTGCTTGGATCAATCATAGATCTATCGTTATCCTCTGGGGCTCTGCAGGCATTCACCAGGGCTCTACCGGACCACCCCATTCAGGGTGTTCACTAGCCATGAAATCCTGAGGGTCATTTTGACTAAGTTTTACTGACTGCAAGGACAAATCCCTATGATTAAAACAAAATTTGACCCTCCAGTTAAAATCCTGAGGGTCAAATCAGGCCTTCTTGAAATTTGAAGGGTCAAAGAGTCATTTCAAGGGTCAAACGGACACCCTGCCATTGATATTAAATTTTTTTTTTCCATCCGGACTCGAATGCCTGATGTACCCAGATCATTCCGGACGTTGCTGGCAGAGTTACGGATGTACTCTGGTTGTTCCAAATTGTACCCCGGTCGTTCCTGGATCAGCCCGGACGTCTTCCGGGCACTGCCAGGATGTAAGTGAGACTGCAGCCGAAGGAGTTTCTTACTTTTCGTGTTTCACAATGAAAAGTTGTATTGGCTTAGTTTTCTTCCCGTTATTTTACATTTGAATGAACATTAAAATGTTTAGTTTTCTTCCAGTTATCTTACATTTGAAGGAACTTAGAAATGTTTGGAATAAAATAAGAACAAAATTGCTAAAAGAATGGTTGTTCCTAGATAATGCATTTACACTGTGTTAAAGATAGAATGTCATACCAGCGGTACCTTTCTATGCATGAAATCATTTTCAAAATACTATAGTTATAGGATAAGATTTATCTTTGCAAATGATATGATACAGTGTGAAGTAAATGAGAATTTTTCAGATTGAAACATATGCAAGCTTGAATTTCTCATTACTTAATGCACATTAATTATTAACAATTAAAAATTTACATGAAAAATTCAAGATTTTTAATTATTGAAATTAATTTCTATTGATTTGATGAAATTTTAAGTTTATTTATGTGGAATGTCAGCAACATAATCCAAAGATTCATTATGATTCACTGTGTCATAAGCTCATTATTTCTAACTTTAAATAGTTCTCTGTGTAAATATTTCAGTGAAAATGAACTGCTTAACTGTGAATTCATTTGTCATTCAATAAAACTTATAGATTCAAAAACATTTACAGACAAATTGTCACAATTATTCCAACTTTTTCAGTACAGGAATCCTAACCATATCCTTTTCATCCACTTTATTAATAATGTTTAAATGGGTCAAATGGTAAGAATTTTGAAAAGAACAACAACTTGATTCAGGGTGTTGAATTAAATTTTTTGCTTCTTTTTTTAAATTGACTACATCTTTAGCCAATAAAATTTAAGTTCAATAAATCCTGTGACTTAATTGATCTACAGGCGTTCTGTAACACTGATATGGTAGTCCTTCTCAATTTTTTAATGAAGTATATATGTATAACACCCTTTATTGGCACCTCTACTGTTCTGTAATATATTACACTTCCCAATATACAGCTCCCAATAAACAGCTCATTAACTTCCAATAAAGTGCCAGCCCCATCTGTGTGTATATAGTTTAATGGATCCATATCCCATTGTTTTATGAGGGGCTTGGATAGATGATTAGTTTACCTAGTATCTTTTAACAATTGACTAATTTTAATTAAAAAGATACTTTCAAGTTCTCTAACCTATGAAACTCTTTTATAATTATCCTGTTTTGGATTTTGTATTTGTTTCTTCTAGTTCTTATATTTTTATCAGTATTTAATGTTATGAAACATTCCTAAACAGTTGCAAATTGAGAAAATAAGAACCCCTAAAGAAAGTCAAAAACAGCAAAATTGAAAATGTTGCAGGCTCGGTTTGTCTTTGTGCCTGTTCATGGACGGTACTGGAAAGTGCAAGATAACGTCCATGCCCCGGCTTAAGCAGAATTCAGCATTTAAACATAAGCATACTTCTTCTCTTTCATGCATCATAAGAACAAGATGAGTGTAGGACAAAAGCCCCCCGGACGAAAGCCCCCCGTCTAAAAATGACAAGGGGGGCTTTCCCCCCCCATGAAATTTTCACATAGGACAAAAGCCCCCCCCCCCCATCAAAAATACAGGTAGGACAAAAGCCCCCCCCCCCCCATCTTTTTTCACTGCACAAGTGCTCAAATTCATCAAATTTCACACAAACTTTTAAATAAAAATGAAAAGAATTTGTTTTAATGTTTATTTATAATGTATATATTGAAGTGATAGCAAAGTTTATGATAAAAAATTAAATAATGTATGCATGCGATACCGAATTCATAGCTTTTCATATACACAACAAGTGTCAGAAGAGTAGTGATGTTTAATCACTTTTGTAAAGGGATCAAATTAATATCCTAAGCACTATGTCACCTACATGTGATGTCCAAACACATAAAAAACACAACTTTAATACACTATATGTAAATTTGATTGACTATGGGGGGGGGGCTTTTGTCCTACCTTTACTTTTTTATGGGGGGGCTTTTGTCCTATGTGAAAATTTCATAGGGGGGCTGTTGTCCACCTTGTCATTTTTAGATGGGGGGGCTTTCGTCCGGGGGGGGGGGGGGCTTTTGTCCGTATCCCGAACAAGATAAGTTTAGTATTATTGTAAAAAGAATCATTGGTTATTTCTGTAACATCCGTCACCTTTTGTACCCTTATTTTGAAAACACAGAATAACAGAAGATTATATTTGTTCAAAATTCCTATAAGCATAAATATTATCCTAATAAACTTAAAGGTCCTCTTGATGTTAAAAACTAACATATTAATTTTATTTCAAAATAAATAATTTTGTTTTCTGATTCATATTAGAAAAATACAGTTTTTTTTTCAAAATTAAGGAATTGGTGTTCATAAGTTATATTTTTTTTATATAAATACATGATTTTAATCCTTAATTTCTCTTATTTCTTCATTTTTCATTGTAACTTTGGTATCTTCAGGGCTTTTTTCCTTCTATAACAGGGGCTATTATAAGGCCCCTTCACAATTCAAAATTGCACCTTCCGGTAAAATTAAATTGATTTATGCCAATTGCAATAACACAGAAATAGTTTTAATCAAGTTTAATGATTTTTGCGCATGTTCACCGGGTTAAAGTACCGACTTGAAGCAGATTTTACACAGTCAACTGTTTCCAGTTTCAAAATGTTGCCAAATGCCAGGAAATATGTCATTTTTTTTCACAATTTAATGACATATCTCGCTTTTTTTCACAAAATGAACAGGCCCAGGCCCCTCCACAAATTTGACAAAAAATGCTCTGGTCTTAGCTTTAAATTCTCTTTCCAGTTACAGTTTATGTGAGATTTAGTGAGCATCTTAAATAGTTTGATGGAATAATTGTTACAGGGACTTGTGTTTCCTACAACTTTTACATTATTGTATTTTTTCCTCATAAAGTAAAACATATTAATTTTTAATAGCAATTATTGTAATATTTTCATAGTAAGACTATCAACAAGCACCAGAAACATTATATTTTGGGTAATGCTATCATAAAAAAAACTTTTGGGCAAATTTGCTTTATTTTAAGTTCTTGTAAATACACAAAAATGTAATTGCGAATTCAATATATTTTTTGAAAAGAAAAAAGCCTGCATTACATGTACTTTTGAAAAATAAGAAAGTACTGTGCAGCAGGCACATAACTTTTTTATTAATTCATGGATTTGATTTATACTCGGGCAAAAGAACTCTCATAACAAAACCGACATGTTGAGTATTTAAGATTTAACCTTGATCTTTATTTGACCATGAATGTCAAGGTTAAAATATTGACCTTATCTTAGATTGTCATCACTCTTATTTATTCAAGGATTTGATTTATACCGGGAAAAAAAATCTTATGACAAAACACATATTTTCCATGATTTTTATTTGACCTTGACCATCATAATTTGTCCTTGACTGTCAAGGTTAAGTTATTGAAATTTGCTTTAATTTTCATATTTTTTTTTGTACAGATTTTGTTCATACATGTACTTGGACAAAACGAGCATTTTGAATTATTTAAAAATGACCTAGTCCTTTGAAATTTGCCTTAATTGTAATAACTCTCGATGAATCTAATGTTAAATATGATATTTGTCAGAATTATATTTTGTTTAACACAGTTACGTTTTCTAGGAGTATTATGTATGTACTAAATTTTTTTTTCCAGCGTGTTTATAATGCTGCAAAATTAAATATAAGAAGAGATGATTATGAGACACACTGACCATAGTGTTTGCAGAAGCGGTTAGTCCATCTCAGCCGTGGTGGAGTATTCGTCGCAGAAGCTGTGGATAAAATATGGCCGTTTGCTGTTGTCAGTAAGTATAGGACTGAATTTTGTTCTATGTTTTAGTGTTCTACTGGAAACACTTAGTGCGACTGGAGCCCACATGTGTACTCTTTCAACTTATAACACGCACACGGTGCAATACATTGCCGTTTATGCAAACACTTCTGTACAGTTTGACGTGGGGACGCCACTTTTGCCTAATTTTGGTTATAACATGTACAAATGTGTGCAAAACGACCCCATAATACAACGGCATCACATCGTATGAATGATACTTTCACAAAATAACCATATATTTTGGAAATTTACGGAAACTATTTTGCCTGTTTATAAAAGAAATGGCAAAAATGATTTCAACGCAGACGGCGGTGGATTCAAATAAAAAGCAGTGTGGTGGGCCCGATACCATTTATTTATATTTTGAGGGTTTAACTTGACGTATCGCACTTTTCAATTGAGTACAACCCTTTTCTTACTTTGACATCTGAGAAACATGTTTATTTGATGTTATAAACAATATCAATTATTATGCTCCCCGAAAAATTTCGGGGGAGCATATAGTTGGCGCCTTGTCCGTCTGTCCGTCCGTCTGTCCGCACTCACAGGAGAGTAATTATGTGGCTAGAGGGACAATAGGTAACTGTTCTTTCTCTTTGATGTCATTCATTCCGTAATGCTTTTATGTGGCTATTTTCTTTTGTGTGGCTAAAAAGAACAATAGAGAGAACAATAGAGTAGCCACATTATTACTCTCCTGTTAGAATGGACATCCGTTCGTTTGTTCGTCTTTTGTCCAGTGTCAAAATCATAACTCTAATATTGCCCGGTTTTTGAAAATTATCTCCGTTGTCAACTTGTCCAATGGGTAGATGTGCATTGCATAAAGAGCATAACTTTTTGTCCTAAAACCTTTGTTAATTTTAACTCTTTGAATCCGGAACATAACTCTAAAACTATAAGAGATATCAAGATGAAACATTGTAGGTAGATAGATCTTATTGAGTAGAGGTGCAGTGCAAAAGAACCATAACTCTGATAAGCCTCATTTTTGAATTATCTCCCCTTTTAGAAAAATCTTGTCCAGGACATAGCTGTAAAACTATAAGAGATATCAACATGAAACTTTGTAGGTAGATATATCTCAATGGGTAGATGTGCAGTGCACAAGAATTATAACTATGCCTTGTCTAATTCTAGAATTATTGCCCTTTGTTTATTTTTACTTTTTGAAGTTGTCCGGGACATAACTTGGAAATCATAAGAGATATCATCAAGAAACTTTGTAGGTTGATAGATCACATTGATTAGAAGTGCAGTGCATAGAACAGTAACTCTGTTATGCCTAATTTTGGAATTATTGCACTTTCCTTGTCCAGAGCATAACTTGAAGACTAATGGTTGGAATTCAATACAACTTTATACAATGGTCAAGAACATTCAGAGGAAGTGCAGTGCACAAAAATCATAACTCCATCTTCACTATTTACAGAGTTATTGCCCTTTGTTACTTTTCCTTGTCGAGAGCATAACTTGAAAACTATTGGTTGGAATTCAAAACAACTTCATACAATGGTCAAGCACAATAAGGGGAAGTGCAGTGCACAAAACCATAACTTCATCTTTACTAATTTCAGAGTTATTGCCCTTTGTTACTTTTTCTTGTCCGGAGTATAACTTGAAAACTACTGGTTGGAATTCAAAACAACTTCATACAATGGTCAAGCACAATAAGGGGAAGCGCAGTGCACAAAAACCATAACTCCATCTTCACTAATAACAGAGTTATTGCCCTTTGTTACTTTTCCTTGTCCGGGGCATAACTTGAAAACTACAAGCTGGAATTCAAAACAACTTCATACAATGGTCAAGCACAATAAGGGGAAGTGCAGTGCACAAAAACCATAACTCTACCTAAAGTTATTACAGTTATTGCCCTTTGTTACTTTTCCATTGCTTTCTTTTGTCCGGACCGTAACTTGAAGACTTATGGTTGGAATTCAATATAACTTCATATAATTGTCAAGCACATTGAGAGGAAGTGTAGTGCATAAGAACCTTAACTCCATCTTCACTAATTACAGAATTATTGCCCTTTGTTACTTTTCCTTGTCCGATGGACCCACAGCTATGTGAAAGCTATGGCCAGTGTGATAGATAACCTAATTCATAACATTTGTGTTTTTTTTTTTTTTCAGATCTACCTATCATTTTTACCAGTCGGGCATAAGCATGAAGATAAGATACCTCCTTAAACAAAAAACTTCACTTGTTGGATTGTGAGACAAGGCCAGATCTTTAAAAGTTATTGAAGGATGCACAAATGATAGATGCAATGGCCAACTAAAAAGAATGGATGAACAAAATTTATCATTTGAGGCTTCTCTACCGGACATTTTGCTTGGGTTAGGGCTTTGGGCCTTATATTTAGCGTATGTAGGGAAGACCTACAACAATAATAGTAATACAAAAACAAATCTGCAACAGAAACACACAAATGTTGTTAAAACTATTTAATAGAGAAAATAGTTCTTTTTAAGAAAATGTGTACATTTTATACAAAGAAAGAACTAATGGAAGGACTAAAAATGAACATGCCACATGCATATCTCCCAGGTGTTTTGCTTGGGTTAGGGCTTAAATTAATCTTACATTGCTGTAAAAAAGACCTACCAAACTATTGCAATAACAAATCTGGACTCAGACAAATAGTGTTTAAATGATTGGCTGGAGAAAATGGTGCTTTTTACAAAAAATTATACATTATAAACATGTACAGAGCTCAACAAGTAAACCTGACTTAGCACTACAAATTTGTAAAAAGTTATTTGAATATTGTTTTCACAAAGGCAGACTTGGGAAAAAGTAAGCGACACCTGCCCTGATTTAAAGCGGATTCTCTTTTTGGCAGATTTTAGATTGTTGATATTTCAAGAATAGAAAAACGGAAACAAACAGTGAGTTATTTATTATCTGGAAATGAAGATGCAGTGGTATTTTGGAGAAAAAAATATCAAATGAATTATATGTTGTTAATTAAAGAGAAAAAATTGCTTGATAAGATCTTGCAAGGTTGTTCAGAGGATTTAATTTCAATAATAAATGATTATACTGATGTACTAAAAAAGAGGAAACAGAATGTGACATATGTTACTATAACTAGACATATAAAAGAGTTTTCTTGGCAAAATGCCAAGTTATTGTCCATATAAAATGTTTCAAATGTTGGTTAACCACAGATCATATCTATCATCAATGACCAATTTTACGGCATGGTTAAAGTGTTCATATTCACCTAGAATGATTGTGTTGCAAAAATGTAGTTGAAACTTAAAGCTTCGCAGTCTTAAAAAGGGACTCCTGACTGAGGTTTAAAAGCCTAAAAACATAACATTTGAATTTCTTACATAATTGAGCTAGGACACTTTAAACAGAAATATATGCAAAGATAGTTAAGAAATATACTTTGAAATAAATTGAAAATCGTATTATTATGCTTTCCTTAGGCCGAATTGAGTGAAAAGGGTTTAAACGCTTTTCATTTTGGTCATTTTTTACAATTTGAATACATTTGTTTTGTTATTATTCTGGAAAAACTAAGTGCGCGAATGATCGGAAATTTTGCACAAAGATTAGTGGTCTAAACCTACATCAATTGGTACATTTTACTGGAAAAATTATTTCCAGTCCAATCATGTCAAAAAACCTCAGTGGAGTGACCCTTTAAGTTGATTGTAGTTACTTAGGAGAAAATTAGTTGGATTCTGTATTAATTTAACAAACTAAATTTCTTTTTTTTTGTGAGTAAATATATAGATGTTAGTTGTTAGTTGAGACTTCCTTCTGAAGTTGTTTCCTTTATGTAATATTTTAACAAATTTTATCTTAAAATTTAGTATGGTATTTTAGCTGCTGGTTCTTGCAGAAAAGAATCACTTATGGTTATATCCTATGTTTAAATTGATGTTATCAAACTTATGTTCCGCCGGCAGAACAATTTCAAATTAATTTTATTAAATGATATTCTTTCTGATTTATATTTTTGATTAAACCTAAAAAGGTTTAAGATTTTTCTTGTAATAAATAAATGTTCCGCCGGCAGAACAGAATCACTTATGGTTATATCCTATGTTTAAATTGATGTTATCATACTTATGTTCCGCCGGCAAAACAATTCCAAATTAATTTTTATTAAATGATATTCTTTCTGATTTATATTTTTGAATAAACCTAAAAAGGTTGTTAAGATTTTTCTTGTAATAAAATTATAAATAAATGTTCCGCCGGCAGAACAGAATCACTTATGGTTATATCCTATGTTTAAATATTATTGATGTTATCAAACTTATGTTCCGCCGGCAGAACAATTTCAAATCACTTTTATTAAATGATATTCGTTCTGAATTATATTTTTGATTAAACCTAAAAAGTTTAAGAATATTTTTTGTAGTAAATAAATGTTCCGCCGGCAGAACAGAATCACTTATGGTTATATTCTATGTTTAAATTGATGTTATCATATTTATGTTCCGCCGGCAGAACAATTTCAAATCAATTTTATTAAATGATATTCTTTCTGAATAAACCTAAAAAGGTTGTTAAGATTTTTCTTGTAATAAATAAATGTTCCGCCGGCAGAACAGAATCACTTATGGTTATATCCTATGTTTAAATTGATGTTATCATACTTATGTTCCGCCGGCAGAACAATTTCGAATCAATTTTATTAAATGATATTCTTTCTGAATTATATTTTTGATTAAACCTATAAAGGTTGTTAAGAATTTTCTTGTAATAAATAAATGTTCCGCCGGCAGAACGGAATCATTTATGGTTATATCCTATGTTTAAATTGATGTTATCAAACTTATGTTCCGCCGGCAGAACAATTTCAAATCAATTTTATTAAATGATATTCTTTCTGAATTATATTTTTGATTAAACCTAAAAAGGTTGTTAAGATTTTTCTTGTAATAAATAAATGTTCCGCCGGCAGAACAGAATCACTTATGATTATATCCTATGTTTAAATTGATGTTATCAAACTTATGTTCCGCCAGCAGAACAATTTCAAATCAATTTTTATTAAATGATATTCTTTCTGAATTATATTTTTGATTAAACCTTAAAAGGTTGTTAAGATTTTTGATATTTTGTAATATGTAAATGTTCTGCCGGCGGAACAGGATTATTTATGAATTTATTTTTTCTTTGCGTTAGAGTGAATCATATTTCTGTTCTGCTGGCGGAACAATTTCAAATGAGTTACATTATTTGATTTTACTTTAAGAAATATATTTTTGACAAAATTTTGCAAAGGTGTTAAAAATTGTATCTTGTAGTAAATAAATGTTCCGCCGGCAGAACAGAATCACTTATGGTTATATCCTATGTTTAAATTGATGTTATCATACTTTTGTTCCGCCGGCAGAACAATTTGAAATCAATTTTGTTAAATGATTTTCTTTTAGAATTATATTTTGATTAGGAATTTTTATGATTCTATCTTATTTTTGCATTCATATGAACTCGAATCATATTTCTGTTCTGCTGGCGGAACAATTCCAATGAGTTCTTTTATTTGATTTTTACTTTAAGAAATGCATTTGTTACAAAATCTTCCAAAGGTTGTTCAGAATTGTGATATGTTGTAATTAATAAATGTTCCGCCGGCAGAACAGAATCACTTATGGTTATAACCTAGTATGTTTTGATACATGTTTTCATACTTATGTTCTGCTGGCGGAACAATTTAAGACTGAACTATTTTGTAAAATAACTTAATATATGTTTTATTTAATGTTCCGCCGGCAGAACATTTTAGCATTTTTGGATTCTTGCTATCTCGCAGAAAGAACTGCTAAATGTTCTGCTGGCGGAACAAATCATGATTTATTTGTAATAATATGCTGTATTTTTATAACAAAATGAAATAAATTTTGTGTTAAATATATTTTTCAGTTGTACTTTTTGTTGTTTTTCCCTTAAAATACATCTTGAAATATCCACTAAAATAGCTGAAAATGGCATTTTTAATTGGGAATCTGTGGATAATCCCTTTTTAAAATGGATGGAGTTCCAAGGGTTTTAAAGGAATTATCAAATTTAAAGTGAGCATGACAGATTGCTAATGGTTGTCAGTTTTTAACAAGGGAACTGTTTTCAAAACATTCGTCATTTGCAATCTTGATCAATGTATCTTTCTAGAACAAAAGAGATCAAATAGAAATAAATGATATCGCTTTAAATTAAATGTTTTTGCTCATATTCTATAACTAACCAACTAAATTTTGACTTTGGTTATGTTTTCGACCAGCAAATGACTGTGTGTTGAATTTATTTATTTATTAGTTTTGTGGCATTGCTATTGCTGAAATAGATAATTCATATAAAAACAATCTCGACTTTTGATAAAAGATTTTGTTTTTGCAAAACCATAAAACTACACGTATTTATTTACATGTAATTATTTTATTACTCCTCACTTTTTTGTTATGTTAATTTCCCATATGCCAATGGGAGTTATTCTTACTGTTTTGTTTGCTACGTGACTAAGAATTTTGTACTGTTACATAGGTAACATTACTTTTTAACAGTTTCAATAGTCACGCGTTGTTTTTTCTCTCTAAGGAATAAAATGGTGACCATTTGTGCTCGATTCAGCCTATTGTTTTTTTAAGTTTACTATTAAGTGTCATTACCAGAGTGAGTAAGTAAGTTGGTTAGTATGTAAAGACTTTATTTAATGAGGCAAGCACATTCGGTTTCCCAATCTTCCATGCGGGTCAAAGTGACAATGACAGTCAAAGAATTTAACTGTTTGCAGCATAGAGTGCTTTTAGCGTCTCATTTGTCGTTTTGTTAAACAGTCGTAAAGTTATCCATTTTTAATCGGAAATTAATGCTAAGTCAAAACAAAACAAACGGACGTCGATTAAAGTATGAAACGAAGGATTATTTAACGTTTTTAATCAGTGAAACATGAGATATGTCGTACTCTACAACACTCTTCAGATGCATGATATCGTAGTTGCACATTGTCAAAAATATATTCTTGCCAGGGTCAGATTTTACAGATTATAACCGTATAAATATATTAATAAAATTTTGTGTTTTGATTTCTAAACGAAACATTATGACTGGCAGATATCAACATTTTGCTCAAAAGTGCACTTGAAAAACAAATTATCAAGTACACTTACATCTTTGTTGACCTACTCTTGGTCCAGTTATGTTTATAGTTAGATTTTGTTGTAGATTCTAAATCAATATCGTATTTGTCGGAGGAAGGGGGTGGATGGTTGTGTTATGAAATGAATAACACATATAGATTTGTAGGTTACAATAAAATTATCATCCCTTGTAAAAAACTGTTACTCGACAAAAAACCCGTCAGCAAAATAATTGATAAAAATAGGGACATAAGATATTTTTCTTCCACATAATATTAAGTTCAATTTAGGTGACTGTTATGAATTTTGTATGCTAAATATATTGTAATAAGAAATAGCCTTAACTTACTTTGATGTTTTGGCATGGTCAGTATTGAAGATCCGCCACGTTTCCAGAACTACACTTAAAATTAAAGTTTCAGAAGTCATGCAAGGTATTAATATTTTCTTGCATGTATATAAGTTTCAAAAGGTTTAGTGTAATGCGAGACAAATATTCAACTAATTAACATATTTTTTAACTCAAACAATTTTCTTCCCTTTTATATATGAGCCACGCCATGACAAAACCAACATAATGGGTTTGCGACCAGCATGGATCCTGATCAGACTGCGCAGGTTTGCGACCAGCATGGATCCTGATCAGACTGCGCGGATGCGCAGGTTGGTCTGGATCCATGCTGGTCGCAAACCCATTATGTTGGTTTTGTCGTGACACGGCTCATATCTAGTGTTATTTGTTCTTGTCAAATGTCTGTGGCATTTCATCACCATTAGTTAATGTGTGTGAGAGACATATATTCCATCAGCGGTTATAATGTTCATCTAGATAATATTGACTTATAGGTCTCAAATGATCACAAAAACGCCGGAATGTGTCCGAAACAATTGATAGACAAGAAAC